CTCTCTCTCTCCCCCGGCGCCCAGCAGCCCCAGGCAGTGGGTCGCCGCTGCTTCGCGGGTTGTGTGAGGTAGTGAGGTAGGTGCTTTGCGGCGCAGGTTTGCGTAAGGACGCTGCGCCTCGCCTGGCCGCCGAGGAGTGTCCCAATGTGGCTGGACAAAGCCCGCCCTTGTCCGATTGGACACCCTGCGACACATGCGCTGCACTTGACCCTAGGGCGTGCCATTAGACCGCTCGGATTGTAACCATACGCCTTTTGTCCGGTCCGCATGGAACTCGGGCGTACATTGTCCGCTGCGCGTACACTTCATCAGTGATACGCGCTTCATTGATGTCTCAAATTACAATTTGTTTCTTTCTTAATAATGCAATGTGTTTTTTCTCCTTTGAACAGCATACCGGCCTTGACTTTTTTTCTTATATACCATTTCTTTTTGACAGACTTCTGTGTGGAGGAGGCGTTCTATAACTGCTTTTGTAGTTAAGTGGATGTCGATACCGGGCCAACGACCAGCTTAGTCATGAGAAAGGAGGTGAGGATAGAGCTTTGGACAAGCCGCACGGCTCGTTTTGTTTTTGTTTTCGTTTGGCATCGTTTTGCGGATGCCCGTGCATAATATGGTAGCTTAGATTATCTTACAAATGCTGCCACTTTATTTTATTTCGTTTTTAATTTCATATTGCTATTGGTTTCTTTGTCTCATTGAAAAAGAAACCATGCCAGCAGACGTGCCAAACTTTCGACAGTTTCGGCAACTCTCAGAATGTACTGACAAATATATGCGTAAATTTACTATATCTTTTATAACTTTGACTAACAAATTAAAATGTACATTTACTAGAGCGATAGTGAATCTATACGAATAAGGCACATGTAAATTTACTCACGCAGTCGTGTCCTGAATGCTCGATTTTCGAAAAAGTACGAAATCTTAAATGGAATTTATTTTGTTTCAAAAAAGTGGCACTATGTCCTTTTACGTTACAATGCTATCGTAGATTGCGTGTCATCGTTGTGATGCAGATGATATTTGATTTGTAATCAGCTGATGCACCTGCATGCGTTTCGTTTCGACACATCGCGCTCGACCACTTGTGTTGCATGGTTTACAGCTTGTCGCCGCTGCCTTCCTGTTCCGCCGACCGCCTTGTGCAAAGCGTCTAAAGGCTAGGGCCTCGCGGCTGTATGCATTCGGCTCCGTTTGAGGTTGCGAGTGTCTCTGACGTGTGCTGCAGGACGGAACGCAACCAGCATCTCATTTGCATCATTACGTTTTATTGACAACGGGAGGATTGACAACGACGCAAAACGAGAGGGGGCTTGGTATTTCTTTGATTTCTTCACTCATTCTTTTTTCTATAACGCATGGTCTTTCGCATCTGATGGCACATTTCATAGACTATGCCGATTTATTTTCTCCGATAACGCAGTTTTTCTATGCCTCTCCCTCTTAGAACTAGAGCACCTCGCTTCTGAAGCGCGCAGCAATGACGTTGAGATTGAATCGTGATCCTGGACGCCCCTACTCGTGCCGCATGACCACCACCACCACGGCAGCCTCCACCGGACTGGACTGTCTGTGTTGCGCTTCCCCCATTGCCTCTGCAGTTGTTTTCTCGAGTAAAGTCCCCCTCCCCCCCGCCCCAAGGCTCCACGCGGACATTTCACTGGGTCACGAGCCCGCGTACAAAACTGTCGGTTTGGCTGCGTCGCCTCGCGCGACGCCCTCGCCTGGCACCGGCGCCACTCGCTGAGCCGAGCCACACGCCCGCCGTGGTGGACAGTCCGCCGCCGCCGCTGCCGCTGCTGCTGCAGTGGCTCCTGCTGCTGCCCACAACAGCGCGAAGGTCAGCCAGGCGCGCCGGCGAAAGTGGCCATCTCCCCCCCCCCCCTCCCTCCCCCCCGAACAAGGCGGACGGCCCGCGTGGTCAATCACACCGTGGCCCGGCCGGCCCAGGAGGCCCACGCACCACCTGCAGCTGCAGCTGGCGTATCAGACAACGCGAATGGGATGTGCTGCGGACGCGTGTGTGGGGAAAGTGAGCAGCTCAAAGTGGTGCGCTTCTTCTCGGCTCGTTGTGGCCAAATGCTTTTCGGCGCTCGGCGGAAGAAGGGAAAAGGGAGAGAATCCTGCTCATCCTGTTGCTGTCGTGGCATCGAATAATGGGCGATATTAGGCGCGCGCTATTGACCGGTCTAAAACGCTAAGGAGGGGTGGGACGGTCAGGCGCGAGCCGCGTTTCCCCCCGGCGAGGTCGACACCCTTGACTTGCTCTCGTGTCATCGCGTAGGAATCCCTCTCCTGGATATCGCGAGCGCTGTTATTTCAGAAAGTAACTCGATGTTTTGGTCGTGCTCGGTATGCCGTGGTCCGCGTGAAACAGTTAGGTCCACACTGATAGCGTAGCGGTCCTTGGTCCTGGAGCGATCCGGTCGACTCGGGGAGCGACACGACTTACAGATGTTGGAGACCACGCGGCTCCACGGAGGTGAGTGGCCTCAGCCCCCCGCCGACCGTGATGTGGAGGCATCCTCACGGCTGTCAACAAGTGCTCGAGAGGTGGAACGAGTAAAGCGGCTTTTGGATTCTGTTTTGGATCGTGTTTGGTGGCCTTTGAACCACGTGCATGGAGCTGTGATCGGGGTGGGTGTTATCGACCTCCCAGCTGTATGTCCCTCGGTTTGCCCTTCTGATCTCTGATCGATTCCTCCTTCCTTGTTCCGACCACCCTCTGGGGACAGGCGCCTTGTCTAATGACGCTGTTGATTGTCCTCGGCTTGCTATTGTGTTGTGCGTCAGTGCGTCGCCTGCTGCTGAGCCGACCCTGGCCGGCCGACCAGCCGGCCGATCGACCCCGTGGCTCCTCCTGCTTGCCTGCGTCAGCAGGAAGGAAGCAGCTGCACCGCCTCCTCCGAGAGACTGCACGAGAGGTGCCTGTCTGGGTAGGCCGGCCCGCCGTACCCGGGTGCGTAACGGGGCTGTGCAGCTCTCAGGCGCCAGGCTGGGTAGGCTGTACCGCCGTACCCGGGTGCGTAACGGGCCTGTCCACCTCCCAGGCGCTTGTCAAGGTAGGCCGGCCCGCTATACGCGGGTGCGTAACGGAGATGTCCACTTTGCAGGCGGCTGGCAGGGTAGACTGCGCGCCGTACCCGGGTGCGTAACGGAGCTGTCCACCTGGCAGGCGCCTGTCTGGGTAGGCCGGCCCGCCGTACCCG